TACAAAAATGAACCCACTAATACATTATTAGACAAATTTGAAATTGTTAGGCCTCAGTACATTGGCTATGAGTCCAAATCGACTCAACGGCAATGGCTTTGGTTTTATTAGAGCCAAGTCAAGGCTATGCAATATTCTTTAAATAAATTTAAAACTCAAAATAAATGTTACTTGGAAGGTGGGAGATATAATTTAATTTTATCCCAATTCTGCTCACTGATCTAGGACTCCAAACCCAGAATCAAATTTTCAGATATCCTACAAAGCCTGGAAGTAAAAGAAATAGAAATGCAGAAGCACTCAAGATTGCTTTAAAACTTTGTATGTACAATTCACAACCTGTAGTCTAGTTTCAAATGAATGCTTCCTCTAGATTTCTTCATAGGTTAGAATATAATGCGAACTTAAGGAAAATATTTTAAAAAAAACTTACATGAGATGAAGCCAACCTACAGTGCCTAGTCTCATAGTGAATAATAATGAAAGGATGTTTGGAATACAATGTACTTTTTGGACCCTTGCTCCTCTAAGACTCCTATTGGTGTGCTTTGTTCAAGCATCGTTTCTTTCAAGAAAGAACGAAAAACAAAACACACATACCTAATCAGACCAAGGCTGATAGGTGAGGGAACTCCTTTAGATCAGCAGAACAGAATAAAGTCCATGAATAGGCCTACGTATATAAGGTCAACTGATTTTCAACAAAGGTGCCAAGGTAATTCAATGCGGAATGGATAATCTTTTTCAACAAATGATGCAGGATGATTTCCATATAAAATAAATAAACAAATAACCCCTACCCTCACCTTATACAATATACACAAAAATTAACTCAAAGTAGATCACAACCGAAACGTGAGAGCTAAAACTACAAAACTTCTACAAGAAAACATAGGATAAAGTCTTTTTGACTTCCAGTTAGGCCAAGATTTCTTAGATAGGACACAAAAAACATGAACCACTATAGAAAAAAAAAAAAACCTGATAAATGTGACTACATCAAAATTAAAGCCTCTGTTCTTCAAAAGACATGGCTAAGGAAATGTAAAGACAGGTCCCCAGACACCCTTTTAACTCAGTACTGAAATCACTCTTGAGGTTCACCCTTCAGCCAAAGATTATACAAGCCATATAACAAAATGAGACTAAGTGGGCACACCAGCCCAGGGACAAGCACAAGAAGGCAGGAGGGAACAGGAAAGCTGGTAATGGGGAACCCAAGGTCAAGAAGGGGAGTGTGCTGACACATCATGGGGTCAGCAACCAATGTCACAAAACAATATGTGTATTGTTTAATGAGAAACTAATATACTCTGTAAACCTTCACCTAAAGCACAATAAAAATAAATAAACAGAAGAAATCATTAAAAAAAAAAATTAAAAATGGAAAGACAAGCCACAGACTGGGAGAGAATACAAGCCAGACAACAAATCCAATAAAGGACCTGTATCCAAATTATGCAGAACTCCTTCAACTCAATAATAAGACAACAATAACAACAACAAAAGGAAACACAGGCAAGAGATTTGAATAGACATTTCAATAAAGAACATATGATGGCAAATAAGTACATGAAAAGATGCTCAACATCGTTACTCACTGGAGCCCTGGTGGTGCAGCGGTTACGAGCTTGGCTGCTACCCAAAAGGTCGGCAGCTCAAATCTAACACTACTCATTAGGAAAGTGCAAATCAAAACCACACTGAGATACTACTACGTATCTACTAGAATGGTTAAAATGAAAAAGACTAACAATACCAAGTGCTGGTGAAGAATTGAAACTTAAGGCATTGCTGGTGGGAATGCAAAATGTAGCCAGTATTACTGAGGTTTGGCAGCTTCTTCAAAAGTTAAATACACACCTACCATACATCCCAGGAATCCGGCTCCAAGGTATTTACCCAAGATAAATGAAAACGTGTCCGTACAAAGATCCATATGTGAATGTTTATAGCAGCTTTATTGTGTAATAACCAAAAAATGAAAACAATCCAAATATCCATCAATTGGTGAACAGATAAACAAACTGGTACAACCATTTAATGTAATACTACTCAGCAATCAACAGGAATCAAATACTTAAACCACGCAACATGGATGAATCTTGAAAGCATTATGCTAAGTTTAAAAAACCAGACACAAAAGTTATCTACTATATGATCTGATTTATACGGCATTCTGGAAAGGGTAAAACTGTAAGGATAGAAATCATATCTGGTTGCGAGGGGTTGTAGGTAGGGGAGAGGGGTTGACTGTGGGAAGGAATATCTTTTGGGATGATGCAAATGTTTTATTACTTGACTGTGTTGGTGGTTACATAAGCATATACACATTTGCCAAAATTCAAGCCATATACATAAAAAGGGTAAATTTTACTATAGGTTAATTATACCTCAATAAACCTCACTTAAGTGTTTATAAAGGAAATTTGTCAGGTAAGATCTATAGAAGAGAACTTAATAACCATTTTATTTTCAAAGTACCGATCTTATGGACATTTTCTCACAAGCCCCAGTGCAGTGTAATTTTCCATAGCAAATAACTGAAGACGACTAGCATCCATTAGTAAGGAGATGGCTAAATTAGATATCCAAAGCATATAATTCAAAGCATATATTTATATACTTCAATTTATATAATTAAAGACTGAAGTGGCACTAGAGCGCTCCATACTAAGATGGAAGGATACGTCTGGTATTTTGTTGAATAAAAAAAATTGAGTTGCAGAATGGCACATACAGTGATGCCATTAAAAAGCAACAAAACTTATATTCATGTGTGCACGGTCTGGAAGATATAGGCCAGTTGTTAACAGTGTTTATACACAGAACGCTGAGGAGAGGATGGTGTGGCTGTGTGATGGTTGCATGGAGTGGAGGAAAGGAAGACAGCTGTCAGTTTTTCTACTTCTCTATAGTTCCGTTCCTCCCCCTCCCCTCCAGTAAACACATATTACTTTTACAATAAAGATGAGTAAAAATAAAAGTTAAAGGGAAGCACATGCAACAATTAAGAGTTGTCCCGGCTTTATGAGTACGCATACGGGAGGAAAAAACTTCAGATGCCTTGCTGCCATCTCCTGGAACAAACAAGAATCTACAGTAGCATAAAAAGATGATGAGTATGAAACTTTCTACGGCAAAATGTCAAAGGTTACTGCAGTAAAAAGGCAAGGTAGGAAAAAACTATTCTGAAGTCAAGTTTTTGGTTTAAGCACTAATGAAAAACAATTACAGACCTGTTCATTTTAGGAGTACTGACTATTCATTAGCTGCAGATATCAACAAAATATTATAATGAAACATTTCGAAACCAACACAATGTGTAAAGTGTGTATTTTACTTTTTAGCTCTATCTGCTAGAAGACAGAATAATTTTATAGTTGAAATATCACACCAAAATCACAGATCAAAATGTTTCTCTTGTCCTCATTAGCACTTTTTGAGAAATAAAACAAAGGATGCATAATTTTAAAAATCAAATCCAAATAATATATTTTGTCATATAGTAAAAAGGGGGGAAATAAGCAATGAGGTTTATTTTTAGCTTTCATATTAAAGAAGACAAATATAAATAAAAACTTTTCTAAACTTCCATTTCTGATCATTTTTTCCTTTTGTTTTCTTTCTTTTCTAATTTTAAGAACTAAAGTCTTCACAAGAAGTTAATTAGTTCTTTTTTGATTTGTTTTCAGTGATATGGATTTGCCAGCCACACTAAATTATAAAGGCGGTGGGGGGAGTCCATAAATAATTTATGCTTAAAGATAAAAGAAATCTTTTAAACAATCCACCCTTTAGCAAAGAAATTGGGGATCACTTTGAGTGTTAATGTAAAATACATTAGTCTTTAGCAGCAGGAGTTCCAGACCTACTGGTGCCAAGAAGGTAACAAATAGTCTCTATCTAAGGAGGGGAAAATGGGCAACTCAGCAGGAGCTTTCTTCCCTGTTGTGTTATTTATAGGGAACTCTATTTGTTAACATGTTTCTGCTATCATGGAGATGGAGAGTTTGATGATTTAAAGGATTTCAAAGACAACTGTTTAATGATACAATGATTTATGCACCTTCACAAGTTCAAGGTATATAACAATTTAGATTTCCAAACAGCTATCACCAAAATAGCTATAGGAGACATTTTAGAAGAGCCAAAACAAGTGATAGTATCTGATCTTATGAAATAAAAAGTTAGCACTGTCGGAAAATGCCATTAAAAAAAAAGTTTAACAGTGACCCACCACCATCCTTCATGCTAGTTAACTAATTTTCTAGAGCCCCTTCAAGCGAGTTTCTGCTGTTTTGGAGAACATGAATTGAATCCTGAGTTACCTGCGACTAACTTGAATAACCTGGGAGTCGAGTCTTGCACAAAACTACTATATTTTCACCAACAACCAAGCCCCACCCCTGCCCCACGAAGCATACAGGAATCTTTTTTGAAGGGAAGAATGTTTTCACATTAGTTACTTATAAATCACATATTCATTTTATAATGATGGATTTATGAAATTCTGGTGAAAGAATTTTCAGAAATTTCATGTTTAAGATTTGACTTTAACTACTAAAATGAAAATTTCAGTTTAGACAGGTAAAGCAATTCAACAAAGCTTCTCTTAACTTTAACCCAAAAGGAAAACACGTTTTATAAATTTCCATTTTTCCTACCAATTGTTAAAATCTTTTTAACCAGTATTTTTTTTTTGCTATATTTTAAAATAAAAACACATCTCATTCCACTTTCTTTCAGTCTTCAAGATTATACTGCCTTCAACTTTCATAAAGTTCCATTAAGTACCAATTTGTCTTTGAAACAAAAACTCTTCTTATCCAGATATAATCAGCCAATTCTGAAAGATGCTTTGTACAGTAATAGAGGCTTTCTAAACACTCAGTGGTAAATATGTACTCACATGAAATAAAAATGAAGCGACAGCATTGGGTCTAAAAAAAAAAAATTCTTTCAGCAAGATACTAATAAGGCATTTGCTATCTGGGGGACAAGAATATATTAACAGTGCTTTTTTTTTGGGTGATGAAGAAATCCACTTCTTTCTACTTAAAATTAGGTTCAACTCAAATGATTTTATTTATTTCAAACTTTTAAAACACTAAAGTTGAACAAAGAATGGGACCTAGAATGAAATGATTCTTTTAAACATGGATGGTTACCTTCTCTCTTGCCAAATATTCTGCAGGAAATGTCAGCTATTGCTTTAGTTCTCTGACATTCAATTCTTTCAGTCATTTAGAGAGTTTTTTCCTTCTGGTTGAGAAAGGATCTTCTTCTGTAGTCTTCTAATTGAGTAGTATTTTTAGTATTTGAAAGTGTAGATGTACAAAAGCTCATCCTTCTCTTCCCAAGTAGATTAGCAGAATTAGCAGCAGGGTCCTCACTGTGTTCTTTACCTGATGAGGACGGCATACCGGGTATCTGTCTGGAGGACATAGTTTCTTTTCTGGAGGACAAACGTTCAAATCCTCTGCTGTCGAATGTACATATTGTTCTCCTTTTAGTTTTTTGAGAAGTGCAGGAAGTAGAAGGAAACGGAAGGGAAATCCATATAAGTCCTTCATTTTCCAAATCTTTTTGTAGCCTTGTGCTACGTCTCACTTTTGTTTCATTATTTGTTCTCTTAAAGGTTTGCTCTATAGCGTCAGATAAATCTTTATATAGTTCAGAATTTTCTAAATCAATTTCTCCAGAGCTGCTTACCCTGTTGGCATTTTTGTGATTTCCACTTTTTTCCAAAGGTAAACTCTGACCATCAGGATAACACATGGAGCGTCTTCTATGTTTCCTTTCTTTACAAGTCACTTCACTACTATTTTCTGTGGATTTTCTTTCCAAATTCTCACATTGACTGTTAGTTTCTTTTATATTTTCAATGAAGACATCTTCTTTTTGTGAGTTAGACATTAAAGCACTGGATTTAGGCTTTCCCTCTACTGCTAATGACAAGTCATCCTGCTTTTCACACTTTATGCTTATATCTTCTGAAATTTTAAATACTCGACAAAGGTTTTCCACATTTTGACCAGCAGCAGAAAACTCCTGGGACTGCAGGATAGAATCTGGTTTTGGATGATCCGATAAAATGTATTCTTCAGTCACAGAAACACAAGATATATGACTGTTTTCATTCCCAGCCCCAGTTTTTAGTTCATTTTCACCTTCCACTTTATTTTCTGCTTTTGGAATATTTTCATTAACTTCTATAGTATTTATATTTGAATCTTGATCAAAAGTGGCATTACCAAGCAATGAGGAGCTGCAGAATTCAGACACATTACACTTATCGGAACTTTGATTGATATGCAAGTCTTCTGGGATCTGAGGCAAAAGAGTCTTTCTTTTAGTTAGATTTTTAGGAGGCTTCAGCACTTCTTCAGGTTTGCCATTTGAGTTGAAATTATCTATGGGTATGTAAATAAGTTCAAATCTAATTAAAAAGTAACAATAAATAAACTTTAAAATCAATCACATTCGTAATTATGCCCTATTGTATTCTGTGTTTTTTAAGTTTTCGAGAATCACAAGACTCACAAATGTTACATGTACTTGTCCCTATCTGTCATTAACCTCTTCCTCTTTTAGTTCTGCCCCAATCCACAGGTTAAGAAAATAGGTATTTAAAGCATCAATTGATAAAGTATCTAACCTCAGACCATGAACATGAGAATGATATCTTAAATTGTTTGCTCTCTAAGAATGCACTCCTGACACCACAAGGTCAGTTAGTTTAAGGCAGCTACATCTCCCATTCCCCTAGAAATGAAGTACTGAAAATGGGCAACACTGTGCTTCTGAAACTTTTCTATAATGTACCCTCTCAAATAGAAGAAATTTGGAACTCTGGGGAATTTGAGGAGATAAAAGTGCATGCTGAAAGACACTCAGGTCTTATGCCTTGTGTTAAAAAATTAATATAAACTACACTGTACTCTCTAATACAGCTATGTTTGTTTCAATATTCTAAAAATCTCCTCCTCCCTCCTGAATCTCTGACTTAAAATTCAAGCTCCAGGAAGACGTGCCATGTATAGCCTGTGGCTTCATGTGTTTCTGGCACACTGTGTCACATCATAGGTGAAAGAGAACACTATTAAGGTTTTTAAGATTTGTCAGTAAACACAGCCTAAATAAAATCAGGCTTTATAATACTACTAAATGCCATCTCTCTTGCTATCTTGGATAATAAAGTTTTTGATTGGCTACCCAAATGGGTATAAAAAAAAGTCTTAAAATCAAAATTGGAAGATATACAAAGCAAAAGTTGACCCAAAAGTCTAAAAAACAACGCCAACCAACTAATGTCAGTTGAGCTCTTTACACAGCTTTAAAAATTGATATGTTTTTCATATGAATGGAATTTGCATTTCTAGCAACTCCCCTGCTGATAATTTGCATTTCTAACAAGTTCCCAGGCAATGCTGATGCTGCTGGTAAAGGACAAATTCTGAGAACCGTTAGTAGAGCAGTGGTTCTCAAAATTTATTATACATAAGAATCACCTGCGGATCTTGATAAAATGTAGGTTTTGACTCAGTACATCCATCTGGGGTGGAAATGCAAATTCTCAGCAGGGGTTCAAATCGGAAGGAACTGGTTTGAAGCCCTGTTTTATGGATAAAAAGATACCTCAGGTATTTTTAAAAAGAAATTCTCTAATAGGATACCAGATGGAAAACTATAGTAACAGTCATTCTAACATCTTTTGGGAAACTCCTCTGTTAGGAACTGGAGACATAAGGAAAATAAGACTTTTGTTTTCACTCTCAAGGAGACCGTAGCTTTGAGGGAGGGAGGTGGAGAGATAATAAATCATTATAAAACCAGGTGAAAAAAGTGCAATGCAAACAGAGTTTACCTGGAAACAAAGACAGCACAGCTAGATCTTTTTAAAGATACCAAAACCAAAAAACCAAACTTGTTGCTGATGAGTGGATACCAACTCATGGTGACCCCATAGCACAGAGTAGAACTGCCCCATAGGGTTTCCAAGGAGCACCTGGTGGATTTGAACTGCAGACCTTTTGGTTAGCAGCCTGAGCTCTTAACCACTGCACCACCAGGACTCCTTTCAAGGATAAACAGGCATTAATTAGATCCCCTGCCCCAAACAACCCACAGAGTGCTGCCACTGCTGGTGCCAAGGGCTGGAGAAGAGTGTGTATGCAGGTGTGCATGGTGGTAGTGGTGCTTTGTCTGTTTATTTAAACTTCTGTTCTATCCTGAAGAAGTCTAATACACTTCTGTCGGTAGAAGCCAAGGTTCTGGAGTGGCATGTACCTTATTCACCTTTGAATCTATTATAAATCCTATACAGTAGGTTGCCAATAAAATACAGGCTATAAATACTTGATGACTGACAAAGGACAGCTATTTTTAAAATGTTTCTATACAAAATTAACACACTAAATGGGACACGTATCATTATTTTCAGCATGATATAATCAATTTAAAACTCAGGCATTACAGACCAGAAGCAACTCCAACTAACTCATTTTTATCCAACCAAAAATCAAATGACTTAATCTTCCCTTTTAAACAAAACTTTTAAGATCATCAAGTTCAATTTATAAATTTTATTTCTGGAAGATGCTTAGTCATTTCAACTTTACTAAAACATCATGCAGCAACTTTTGTTTTTCTTAAATTTTTGTCCTTAACTCATAGAAGATATGTCTAATACTAAGTCATCACCTCTTTAGCTTTTAATGATGGACCACCACCAAACAGAATTCATTTTAACAAAATGCTTTAAAAAGTAAATGGGAACAGGATGAACAGATAACAATGTCCCCTGAAATTATATGCAAAATCTTGTATAGAAGTTATTCTGAGGAGGAGATCTAGAGCTTCTACCAGATTCTTAAAAGGGTCGAGGTGACCTAAGTTAGAAACTACTGTCTTAAAGGATTCTGTTTCCCTCTCTAAAATTCTCATGGTAAGATGAGGAAAAGTTATTTATTATTTATTTACTTTTTACATAATAAATGAGAAGAAGGAAAAGAGTGAAATAGCAACAAAGAAGGTGAAGAGAAGAGATAAAGTATAAATAACAGAAAAAGGACAACATACCTGAATACATCCTCCAGATGCCTGGAACCGAAGGCGTCATCTCAGAGATCTCAGGAATCTCAGGAATAGGACTCAGCAGAGGTTTCTTAGAAGCAATTTCTCTTTCCCCATATAAAGATTTCTTAACCCTCTGCTTTCCCTTTCCTTTCTTCTTTCTGCCACTTTTTAAAACCTGAGAAAATGCATTAAAACATTGTAATTGAGAAAGATGTAATAGCTCCATGTACATTTTTGACGCTTTATCTTCTACAAGGTCTCAAATTGTCATTCACACAGTATTTTTTTTTTTTTTAAGGTAATTTTCACAGAAAAACTTTAGACCAGTTAATTATTCCATTAAAAATTTTAGGAAATTGAGTAAGGGTAAGGGGATTAGGTGACTTACACAAAGTTAAATACAATACAAAGCAGAACTCACTTTACAAATTACAGGGTAATTTTCTATATTTCCACAAATATCTGCCAAATTAAGTGCAAAATAAGCACTGGATAAGTGAAAAATACATTAGCTGCTATACAGTTAGACTTAAGACATAATGAGATATTTATAACTACGACGTAGCTATAGTGACTCAGAATCAACCTAAAATGAGCTATCTACTGGAATGCTATGTGAGATTATTTTCTGTTCATAAATCTGGATGAAGAAAAAATAGGTATGTACAGAAATTTTGAAGGTAACACAAAATTAGCTGAGCTGATTCAAACAAAAGAGGTTTTCGTCAAGATTAAAAATAATAGGTATATTCCCAAGGGACTTGAAAGCAGCTGTGCTAACAGACACATGCACGCCAATGTTCATTGTTCACTGACGCACTATTCATAATAGCCAAAAGGTGGAAGCAACCTAAATGTCCATCAAAGGATGAATGGATAAACATAATGTAGTATACACAGACAGTGGAATACTACTCAACCATAAAGAGAAATGAAGTCCTGATA